CCGGTGTTGAGGTGTCGAGCGCCAAAGAGGGATCCTTCTGGCTTGTGCAAGTCCTGACGAGTGTTTGCATACAATCAGATGTCCAATCCACGTGCGTCTGCACATACGAACGCTGGTACGCCTCGAAGCTCAACCTGGATGCATCGTCCGCCAAGTTCGCCTTGGAAGGTACTCGAGTATACCAGTGGGTAGCCTCGAGAGCCACGTCTAGATGAGCATTGACACACAGCATCGCGAACGTGTCGCGCACAGGAGAGGAGCCAGAGCCAAGTGCCGCCTTGGCAGAGTCATTGTCAAGGAATAACAGCACCTTGCCATGCTTCAATTGCTTAGCCCACGCAACCTTGGCGACCAGTACCGGTAGCACCTCCGCTTGGCCCACCAGCTGTCGCTTACCAGATGCACTCCACCTGCAGACGAAGCTCTCCGGAATTTCCTCGCCGAAGAAGAGGCGCAGGTCCGAAGTAGGATCAATCAGCACTGCGCCATGCGTCGTCAAACACTCGTCTTCCTCATGGGCCCCGTCAGTGAAAATCACGACAGGTGCTCCGCAAGAACCAGCTCGGATTTCGCGAGGTCGCATGTCCTCGAGGAGGTCGGTGGTTTGTTGTAGTGGTGTGCAATCCTCGTTGTCAAGCTTCAAGACGCCCCCGCCCGACAAGTGTCGTGACAGGCATTTGACCGCCATCACAGCAACACGGCCAAATGTGTGGGTTGAAGCATACAGAAGCCTAACAGGCAAAGCTCATGAAGATGGTCGTCGTGCAACTGCTGCACAGGGTCGATGCAGAAGGCAACCAACACCACCCGCCTCCCTCGCCAAGGCAGTGTGAAGTGTTCATCTCTTCGGGCGTGCAGCAAGCAAGGCTGCACTCTCGGATCCAAGATGGCGCCTCTCAATGTCTTGCCTTCATCGAAAGCCACCTCGGGGCCTTCGGGTTGGACGACGAAGATATTGCCACCCTCAAAATTGCTGACAGCCACGACAAGATTAGGGTCAAAACTGTTGCGAACGTCGCGATGGCGGGGAGCCCGCACGTCGCCGAAAATGACTATGGAAGTCCACACGTGGCTCGGGCGGATATTCCTCACGAAAACATTCAAGAGCTGAACAGAAACTGGAAACAAGCGATTGTTACGTCGTAACCCAAATCGCGCATCACGAACCCAACAACCACAGCCAAAAGCTAAAGGGTCGGTGGTGCCACGCGAGGACTCTTCTCGGGGCAAAAGATCGAACAGCTGCAACACATCCTGGCGCTCAGGAAGCCGCTCTTGAAGCAGCTGACGAGAGAAGAGTTCGGCAGGGTGGTCGCACAAAGTGACCCCGGCAAAATCAAGGTTTAAATGTATGGAAAACGGTTCATCTCCAGATGAAGTCACACAGACGGTACGCCCAGAGGCTTCTAGGGCACCCTAGTCAGGTGTGGCGTATGAAGGGGTGTTTCTGGAAACAGTTGGGTTTGCAGCACAAGTGCTTGCCCCGAGGGCAAGAAGCAACATCGCCATGGGGGCACTTCCCAAGATTATAGTTCCAACACAGTGCGGCCCCGTCCGCATCGACAGGAACCCCACCCTTCAACGCAGCAGGCATGTAAGGGGAGCGCTTTTTCGGCCGCACATCAGTCCTCGAAGCGACAGGCTTTGGGGGTGGGGGTACTGAGGCATCCGTAGGGTTCTTACGTTTCTTAGGGTTGGACTTAGGCTTAGGGGCGTCCCGGGGAGTGGTGCTGGCAGTACCTCGGGCTCGAGGCAAGAGCAACTGTTCAACACATCTCATTTGCAGGACGATCGGCAAATGTCTATCCAATGGCAGACTACCATCGGAACCCAGCGTGAACCCGGAACGACACTGGTCACTCAGGCGGAGATGCACCTCACGGTCACAAAGTGCAAGTTGCGCGAGTGTGACCCGTTGATAGCCTTCGGTGGGCTCTTTGTAATACGCATCGAACAAGAACTGTATGAGAGACTCCTGCACCTCAAAGCTCATCAGTTCAGCGACAGAGAAGCAAACGCCCCTGCCCGCAAAGCATGATGCACCAACAGGTCTGTAGCAACATTCGCCTCAAGACGTGGTGCATCTTTGTGCTCCCTCACGACACCTGCCTTGTCCGGCCTCCAAGCCTTGAGAAGCTGATCTTCAGTGGCCCCCAGCACCTCTTGATCTCTGGTAGTGAGCCTGGCCCGCTCCACATAACGAAGACGCCCCTCGTCAAGCATGGCTGCAAACAAATTGATACTGGCATGGCTGGGCTCCAGGATTCCCTGAAGTTTGAGGGGAGAAATCTTTGGAGCAAGTACCTGCAGGCGCGCACCAATCTCGGCAACGGGCAGTTTCCTCGGTCCAGCTTCATCAGTCCCGTCCACTTTGCGCTTAAGGTCAGCAGCGGTAAGGGTCCAGGCTTCCCAATGCAAGCGACGAAGAGCTGCCTGATGAGCAGCAAGAGAATCGCCTAGGATGGCATCGAGGACAAGCTTGACGGCGGCTTCCGCTCCTGCAGTACCCGGGGTGGCAGTAGGGGCATGAGCAAAGTTAGCGAATGTACTCCACCCGCGCAAGTCGAGCCGACCGACGACCTCGGTCGGCAATCCAACAGCCAGGCACCTCTGTCGAAAGATCGCTTTAGAGTCGACATAGGACATGACGGGCTGCCACTAAGAAGGACCTGGAGCCGTTCAAAGCTCGAGAGCGGGACCGTGTAGGCAGCTCGCGGAAAACTCACAAGCATGCAGCATGCAGGGGTGTCTTTGATCCGCGTCGACAGCACTTTTCATCATCAGAAACCGGAGGCACACCGAGAGAGCTCTTGGTATGCGTGCACCACTAGTTCACCACGGCAGGGCTCTTGTCACCTGAAACATGAAAGGCAAGGATTCAAAATCACGTTGGGCCGAGCACCGAGCTCCACATGCGCCGCCGTGGCTAAGCGACCGCACACGAAAACAGTCGCATCATCGTCATGAGGCCTCTGGGCTCGATGCACGGTTTGCCTCGAGACGTGTTTATAGTATACAAAACCATCACTTGCATTAGATGCAATCGTCTCGCCCAGGGCATGCATGTCAGCTAGGTGGCCATCAGCTTCAGACCCAGCACTATCGGAATCCTCGTCCAAGTCCTCACTAGATTCCGAATCGCTAGATGACCCCTCTAGCAAGCGGCTGACCTGGGCAGGAACATTCTTGCGAGGGCGCTTCGCCTCCTCGCCGTGCCGTAGCAAAAGAAGAGCAGAATCAAAATCTTGAGCACCGTGCCACCTCTGGAGCCGAGGCTCGTCAGGGCAGAAGATCCCCTCGCGAATCATGTCAATGGTGTCCGCTAACCTGCGTACCAAAGGTGCAGCGGCATCATGGGCATACTCCAGCTCGGAGCGCCCCTCCTGACCCACATGATACCCGGCCCGGCGGCACATGTTGTTAGATGCTGCAGCCTTAGTCAGCCAAGCCAAACATGTGGCCTTGCAACTGTGGGTGGCGAGGTTGGCCAACTCCTCCTCATTGCAATCACTCCCCAGAAGCTCCCTCATCCAGACAGAGGCATCAGAAGAGCGCAACTTGCGATCGGCAAAGTTACCATCGGCGCACGGACACCGCATGAGTGGTTCACTTTCGGAGGCCTCCAACCCCAGCTCCACTCGGTTTCGCAGATAAGCAGTCGCCCAGCATTCAGCACCGTGAACTCCGGGGCTGATAGCGAAAACCGGAATGAGCCGAAACCTAGTAGCCCTGCGAATGGAAGAAGTCTTGGAACCATACAGCTGAAGAGACAGTAAGTTATGCGCCTCGCCAATCTCCAACGTGGGCTCAGAGAAGCACATCTGAGCATCGCTGTAGCGTAGTCGTCCGTGGACCAAGACACACAAGAAACCCGCAAAAACAGAGACCACGCTTGCGTCACCACACGCAAGCTGCTCTAGCCTGCGAAGCTGATGCACCTTGAGCGGCCACATCTTCATGACAGGCTTCTTAGCCACACCTGCAACTGTGGCCCCGATAACTCGAGCTGACAAGAAACTCAAATCACCTGGGCATTGCAAAAGAGTGTGAGCGAAGCGAACACTTTGAACAAAGCGTTCCCCTCGCGAAGCTGGTGCACCTTCTGACCGGAGGTAACAAGTGTATGCATGTAGCCTGTCTTCCTCCATCGGAAATAAAGAACTTTCTCCGTAAGTGGCTTTCTGCCACCGGGTGAATTGCAGCAAGCTTGAGGCGCGGCTTCGCAAAGTCGAAGTAGCCTTCTCGGCGAAAACATCCTCCAAAATCAACGGCACCTGATCATCAGCAGCCTTCGCCAGTATCACTGCAAGTCCACACGCCGACTTCACAATGAGCATCTGCCACAGAGCTAAAGCCTTCGCTCGTTCCTTGTGTCCAGGACGAAGAGGGTCCCGGATAACTGGCAGTGCTCGTCGAGCTGGGAAATGGAAAGTCGGAGGTGGGGGGCTGATACTAGAAGCCCCTGTCGTCAAGCTGGAACACGCTGGCGCCGGCAAGTAGCCACGAATGGCTAAGTCCCCTCCTTGTACTTCCCAAGGCTCGGGTGTAGATAAAGCATTGAGTCGATCGAAACAGCCAAGGTCACGCCGAGCCCCGAGCAGCCGCATCTCATGTTGCATCGAGGCGGTGGTGACAAAGTCCTGGTGCTCCACCTGAGTACATGTACACTCGACACGTTAAGAGAAAGCCGAATGCAATTGGCAATGCCCTCACGGCAGGTTGTCTAGCAGAATACACGAGGCACTAGTCGAGAGCCAAGCTCGCGACATAAGTTGTGGCCCACTCTCCCCCCGGCGACAGTATATCACCTCGGGGAGGTTTAGTCACAGCACACGCTTGCGTGCACAAACGCGGGAGAGTCTCAGGGTCACGCCCCCGCCAGAAAGGGACTTCAGGCTCCTGTTGCCAGCATGGACACAATCGCCCAGCGACTGCTCCTAATGTCCCGAGGCTCCAGCCAGCAACGATAAAGGCCTTTCTGCTCAAGACCAAAAAAGCCTGACAGAGCACCGACCGCCCAGCGGTAGTGCAAGTCAGATTGGTCTCAGAGCCAGGCCCACAGGGTTCTCAGACAGGTCTCCCACGAGACCGAACCTTGCAAGGCACCAATCGCCCAGCGAGGGTGCTTGCAAAAGTTCTTAGGGCCAGGCCCAGGAGAAGAAGCTTAGTCGGAAAAAGGCCTCACGGGTCTCACTCTAGCAGTCGTTTAGCGATCCGAACTGCAGGTCCCCTCAATTGAGTCTGGCAGCACACAGCGCCGTGCCCAGCACAGCCTGAAGACCTCACTCCCAGCTCAATGCGAGAAATGGGAAGCCTTTGGTTATTAGTAAGCTCGCGGCCCCGTGCCAAACACTCTTTGACCGACTAGCCCAACTTCCCCCCCCCCATAAAGCATGAAAAATCAGCAGCAAGACATGGAAAAATTGGGCTTGTGAAGAAAACACATGCTGCTTCATGCACTCAGTTCACATGACACTGTTGACATCGGCCTGATCTTTACACGCACACCAGAGCAATAACGCCCAGTGATGCTGCAAGCTCAAATGCTTTGATGCACCGCAGAGCAGACAAGTACACCTAAGACAGCTGCCCGCTCAAATGCTTTAAAGCTCCGTGTAGGCCACCCACTTCAAGAAGAGGTGAGCTTTCAAGATTCGGCAGCAGGGACTCGACCGGGAGGAGCTCGGTTTCGGCCAAAAACTGCTGCTTCGACACGAAGTAGTCGAGCAGCGAGTGTATTCTGAGCTCCAGGGCTAAGAACGTTGCCACAATAATCTTCCAAGTCTTCAACTCGACCCACCAGGCCCTGCAAAACGGGACCGAGGTCCTCGAGAGCTTCGGCCGTTCGCTTGCGGGCTGAAGAGGCAGGAGCAGCGGCAGCAAAAGCCAGAGACGGAGTACGGGGAGCGGCAGGAGCAAAAACCAGCATCCTAGTAGGTGCTGCGGTAGAGTCAAAATCGCCACACAACTCGGCTTTCCTGGCATCCGTAAGGCCCGCAAGGACTGCTTCTCTTGGTCGTTCCTGGGCCAGTGTACCACTGTCACTGTCAGGCACGGAGTCATCTCCGTCAGCGGCCCCCACATTCCACAAGTCGCCGATCTGTGCCAAAGCCCCAGGTTCTTGATCCATCGTCATGCAGAAATCATAGAAAGAGGCTGCTACTCCATGAGCGAAGATGGAGGTAGCAGTCTCGCTGACCAGCCGGGGAGTCAAGCCGTCATGTCGCCACAAAGCTTGGCGAGTAAGCACGACAGGACTGCTGGGGGGCGTGGACAGCTCGATAGGACAACTTGGGGGAATGGACAGTTCGATATCCGTGAAGCCTCCCACGTGCAGCGGTTCGCGAGGGCTCTCGGGCTCTTCCGAGCTAACAGCTGACGCTTCCAAAGAACCAACATCTCGCATCTGCAAATCATCCACCACAGGCAAAACACGCGCAGGGTCCAAATCCTCGGGATGAGTAGGCTCTTCCATGGGCCTAGGCCTCGAGGCGCAGATGAGTAATCAGGCACCTTCTCACCTCGAAGGACGTTAGGGAGAGCTGGTGCCAGCTCCTGCAGTCCGCCTCCAGCAGCCAATATCCGCCCACAGTGGCACTGCCGAGGAGCCGTTCGGCTGTACTCAGCTGGGGCGCGTCCTCCCGGTCCAGAACACGCCGCGTGAGCGGCGTAGCTCTATATATTCCAAGCAGCAAGGTGCCAGAATGAAACTGATGCGGAAGAATCCTCAGTCTCGAGATCACCAGGGCAGACGCAGCAGCGGAAGCGGCAGAGAGAGAGCTCTCGGTTTCCCAGGAAGAGTCGCCGGACGAGGAATCCACGTCCATGCACTACTGAAAAGTTTCTTGGCTCCTCCACGAGGAAACCGATGAGCCCAAGGCTTCAGAGTTCGAACGTGATTTTGCAACCATGTAAGTTCACAAAGAACTGCAGTTGCCACGGTTAGCAAAATGCAGCCATGGTTGGTAAAATTGCCAAAAGCAAGCTTTAGCAAAGTTCGAACCGCACGTTA